TTAGGGCTGTTGTCCATAGGGTCGCTATGAGTCGAAAACGACTCGACGGCACATAACAACAACAACAACAACAACAACTGTAAAAACTAATAATTTTCTATTAAATAAATATTGAAGTGTCAGATATTTAAACTTAAACAGAATAAATTTCTAAATGTTGTACTTTGATTCCATTAATTAGAGAAAAAGAACTAAAAAGATAATTGGAATTAGCTGATCATTGCAGGTGAAGCTTTGATAACGGAACGAAAATTAGCTGTGTTGAAAGGTTTATAACATTTTTCTGCTTTTGGTGTCAACATATTATTGCTTTTGTTTATCTTTTTTTACATGTACTAGAAATAAACAAGTGACAAAGTCCATTAGAAGAACAATCAATGTATATACATATTGTACAATTATTTTCTATAACTGCATATGATTAAACTGTTAGTTTCAAAGGCAGGGTACTTAAAATAGCTGTTATTGTTGTTATGTGTCATTGAATAGAAATCTACTGATAACTGACCATTCAGCTGATTTTCAGAAATGGTAAATTGCATGAGAGGAGATTGTCCATCTGGTACATTCAAACCACCAGCCTTTGGGTTTGCATTGCAACTGATGACTCTAAGCCACTAGTTGTTGTTGCTTTGTGCTGTTGAGTTGATTGTGACTCTTAGTGGCGCTATCAACAAAGGAACTGAACCTTGCCCTGACTTGTGCTATTCTCACCATCTCTGAAATACTTGAGTCCTTTGTTACAGTGACTGTGTCAGTCCATCTTGTTGATGACTGTCCTTTCTTGTCCTGAGTCTCCACTTTCCCAAGCATGATATTCTTCACCAGGGATTGGTCCCTCCTAGCAACATGTCGAAAGTATATGAGATAAAGTTTCACTGTCATTTCTTCTGATCCAAGGAGCACTCTGGTCGTACTTTCTCCAAGAAAAAGTGCTCTTGATCATCTGGGAAGAAAGTGCTGCTTGGACAGAAATGGACACAAAAGTCATGGATGAAATCCCTGTGCAGGAGGAATTTGTTTCATGTGGTGGAATCGAAACTCAGCTTTTAAAATGTGGGCCCTGGACTGACCTCTTCAATGATCAAAGTGCTTGCAAGCCTAAGGTGCTTATTTTAATTATTACGGGTAACCCAAGTTTTGCTGCCTTTTATATACCATTTGCAAAGACTCTGTACTCTTTGATAAACAGACGTTTTCCAGTTTGGATTATCTGTCATGCTGGGCATGCCTGTATCCCCAAAGACAAGGAGATTCTTGCAACTTCCAATGATTCAAATACACCAGAAATTAAGGACGCCTATGGACATCATGGTCAAATAGAACAAAAACTAGCTTTCCTGAGAACTCATGTACCGAAGCAAATGAAGCTTGTGTTCATTGGCCATTCAATTGGCTCCTATATTTCCCTTCAGATGTTGAAAAATGCTCCTGAGCTTCCCGTAATCCTCTCCGTGATGCTCTTTCCAACAATTGAGTGGATGTCAGAGTCACCCAATGGCAGGATTGCCACCCCATTTTTGTGCTGGCTTCGCTATGTTCTCTATGCTATTGCCTACATATTATTGAAACCATTACCAGAGAATCTCAAGTCGTGGATAATCAGCATGACCTTTCAATTGAAAAATATAGCAAATGACTGTTTTTGCCCGAGCCTATTGAATCCGTTCTGTCTTGCAAATGCTGCCTACCTTGGGGGCCAAGAAATGATACAAATGGTGGAGAGAGATAATGAAACCATAAAGAAACATTTATCTAAGCTTACATTTTACTATGGTAGTATAGATTCTTGGTGCCCACTACAGTACTATGAAAACATCAAGAGAGATTTTCCAGAAGGAGATATCCGACTCTGTGAAAAAAAGATACCACATGCTTTTATCCTCTCTCATAGTGAGGAAGTGGCTGAAATGACCGCTGCCTGGCTGAAGGATGACCTGTCCAAAATATAAGTGCAAGAGAACGTGGCCAACACAATGGGGATCAGTGGGTTTACTGTACTTGGTAAATATATGTTTAATTTTTCTGTTTGAAATTAAAAAACAATGGAAACGTTTTGGCATGAACAATACTAGTTCCTATGTAGGCCAAAGTAAACACAGTTGATGAATCAATCCATAAGCTGGACAGAACATTTTCTAAGATTCCAGGAATACAATGATCATCTCTAAGCAGGATATCTCATGTTGTCATGAGGTGCCTCATGGTCCCATATGGTTTCATTTGGTAGAACATTTGTAGATAAAGTGACATTCAAATTTATTTCCTTCTACCTGTACAATAGAATTTCTTGGGGGAGAAATTATGGGCTACTTGTTAGAAAATATTTAAAAAAATCAGTAAGTATTCATATAGTTAGCTTTGTAAAGTATATGAGATCATGAGAAAAACACATTTGTGCTGTGGTAGCTGGAAGTATGAGCAGTGGATCTCAGCAGTGGACTTGGGTCTCCTTTAAAGACTGAAGCTAAAGATCTGACCAGACTAACTTGCATTTCTGGGCTGAGATCACCAGAATTAGCCTGTGAACCAAAGTAGCCTATAAGCCCTACTTGTGACCGCTTTGCAGCATGTCACAAACACCAAGTGTTCCACTTATTTCCAAACTCCAGTGGCTCAGGGCCAGCATTGGGGTGAGAGATGCTTCTGTCTCTGAGAAGCTTCCCTGGGAGATAATAATTGCCTAATAAGCCTCCACAGACAGAGAATACATTGACCATATAGTAATATGGTTGCCTAGCCAGATAAGAGCTATTGGAATACTTTGTCTTTTCCCCTGGAACAGTCGGAAGCCTGTGTGCTGAGTCTGTGGCTGCCAGGTCATGAGCACCCTGAAGACTCCTTTCCTTCAGAGTCAGGCTGGGGAAGCATGGCCTGCCCCATGGTGAACCTGGACCTGCAAGATGCAGTTACCCTTCTGTGATTCTTTCAATATGTAATTTCTTGAAGACCAGCAATTAGTCAGGGACAGTGCTAGGCCCTGAGGATAGAGTTCTTAGCCACTACTTTTCTTTCTGAAAATCTTGTTTGAAAGGACATCTGTAAATTACTTAACTGTAGATTACCATGTTTTATTTCTTCATTAGTTTATTAGTTGGGATTAAACTATTTTATTAATGAACCAAACAACTCTTAAATTCTGTGGATTCACTTTCTCTGGATCCCTTGAAGTCTACTGGAGAAACAACACGTTCTGTGACCTTGGAGCAGGCCAACAGTATAGCAGCCTTATCAGTTCAAGGCCTTGAAGAGGCCACATACTATATCTCCCAGGGAAGCAACAAATGATGGCCTCTCAGAAGCATTCAGTTTCCCTTTAGAGGAAATCATTCAAGTTATGATTATTCCTGAAAGGATGGTATCTTTGCTCTCAAGAACTTACGCTCCCAGATTAAAAATCAGTTCCTATATGATGGCAGCCCAGTAAAGAGTGTTAATGACTATCCTTTGGCCTGATATCTACATCTTAAGCAAATTATTTCTCAAATTCCAGCAAGGAATTCTTGTGGACCAAAGAGAGTCAGTGTGGATGCATTGGCCACAGACATAGGCTTGCACACAAAGAGTTGGCATCTGTCTAAGGAAACCTAACATCTGATATGAGGACCTAAAGCTCAGGTCCCTGAGGTGCCTTGTGTACAGAGGATGCTCACAGTCCTACACTGAAGCATGGGAACAAAGACTGGGTAAATGGTCCCTATCTGAATAAAGGGTTAAAGTCCCTACTTTTCTTTTAACCATTATTTTATAATATTTCTCTAGATTTCAAAATTTCAGATGTATGAAATTGTCTTGTTTTTGCTTTATGAGACTTAACATAAAAAACCATTGGTTAAAAATAAAATTTAAAACCTCAAAAAAAAAAAAAAAAGAAAAGAAAAAGTGCTCTTTTGGCAGTCCACCAACTCTTCACCAACATCACAACTTCCGAGTGGTAAAAGAGCAGTTATATCAGTTTAATGACTAAGGTGTGCCTTAATCAAGCCATAGTCTTCTCACTTACTTGCTATGTATGTGAAATTTGGACAGTGAGTAAGGATGACAGAAAAAGATTCAGTACCTTTAAATTGTGACTTATTTGGCCACCAGAACTCTCTTGATATAACTACTTATATTTTGCTTCTGCTTCTCCATGTCAAATAACAACTCCCTTTTGATAATGTTTTCTCAGCAGATATATGAATTCTAGTTTTCATGTGGTCATTGTTATCACCTTGTCCCCCATGGCACAAGGAGGTGGCAAATGATTACATTTTATGCAATTCCACGTTTATCATCAACTTATTTGAAAATTGCAAAATTTGTACTAACTTTTAATGAAATATAAACTGCCCTTTTTTTGAGCTTATTCCTACTGAAAGGATTTGTTGCAAAAAGACAAGAGCATTACCAAACAATAGCATAACTTATAGTTGCGTATTTATAATCCCTAATGGCACAAAGTGTTCAGCACTTGGCTGCAAGCCTATAGGTTGATGGCTAGAACCTACCCAGAGACTTGTTGGGAAAAAGATTTGACTGTCCATTTCTGTAATGATTACAGCCCAGAAAATTCTAGAGAGTAGGATTTTTTGTTTTTCTTTTTTACTACTAGTTTATTTACAAAACTCAAATGCAAATTCAAACAAATCCCCTCACCCCCCACCCATCAAATTGTACAACCCATTGATAAACCCTTCCCTCCCCATGCACATTCACATACCTCGTATGCCAGCCTCTCTCACCCCTCCTGGATCCTTATACTCATTCTAGAGAATAGTTTTATTCTGTTGAATGGAATGGAGACAAGTGAAAAACAATATATCATATGAAAAATTATTGAATCCCTATTGTAAGAGTATGTAGTCTAGTGTATGTGCTCGGGCAGTATTCTTAGCCTCTTTCCTCTGGAAATATTTTAACACCCCTGACCCAAATGATTTTCCATTTCTATTAGCCCCAGTGATCATGTATTGAGGTCTCTGAGTCTCTCATGGGCAGCAGCATGGGCCAAGTATCCTCAGCTCACCAATAAAGTGCTCAGAGAAGCTATAGGGTACTTATGTGACCACCAGAGGCTGGAGAGGTTCACTGTTTGTGGAAGCTCCTGTGTGAGCTTCCAATTTCTTTTGTCACCATGTGCCTACTGCTCTAAAAAGACATTGCATTGTGTGAAGAAAATAGAGGTGAGTTATCCCTGGTCAGTTTTCTAATTTAATCGCATGCTAGAGTGAGAACACATCACCAATGACATGCCCCAGTGGTGATTATTGGAGAAGCAGGAAGCACAGTGTGGAGACCCTCTACACCAGTGCCAGCATTTTGCTTGTTTTGTTTTGACTCTCTCATTGTCTCTGAATCCAAACTGACTTGTAGATGACCCTCAAGGGGGTTTGCAGAGGCTATAAATCTCACAGGAGATGACTGCGCATCTCCCTCTCTCTCAGAGCAGCTGGTGGATCCAAACCACTAGAAAGGAGCTGCCTTTGGATTATCAGCATAGCTCCCTATGGACTGTGGACTGTGACATCACAACTCCTGAGTATTAATAGTAAAGGTAAAAGTGAAAGAATTTGGACAAACGCTAGATAAATAGATTTATAGGACTAAAGCCAAACTGACTAGGGTAAAAGGGGGGTTTGTAGTCACCCCAACAATTGTTTAGGCAAGTTGCATATTTCAAGCACACTCTAGAGATATTTCAGGCTCAGTTCTGGACCGTCATGACAAAGTGAATATTGAAGTAAAGCAATTCATGTACATATGTTTGCTTCCCAGTACATCTGAAAGTTGTAGTTCTAGTTCACGTATTATAATCTGCTGGCCTAGTGGTAAGGAGTTGTGCTACCAACTTGAAGGCAGATCATTTGAACCCACTAGCTACTATCAGGGAGAAAGATGGACAATTTCCTCTGCTGTGTTTTACTGCCTCTGAAACTCTGCTGGAGCATAAGGTGTGAGTAGGTTCTAACTTGACAGCATATAAGAACAACATAATCTACTAAGTGTGCAATAGCATGATTTGAAAGTTTGAAATATTGTGAGAATTAGCACAGTGTGACACAGAGACACGAAGTGAGCACACATATTGGAAAAATGGCACCTACGTAGACAACACAACACACGTAGACGAACAGAAAGGGCAACCTAGGTAGAA